AGTCGAGCGCCCTAACCACCTGGCCATGCCGGACCCCCCAGTGACAGGTAGGGTTAAGAAAACGTGTGATCAGTCTTTTTTGAAATAGTGTCATGAATTAAGTTTATGCTGCTGGATATATATATATAACTGCAATATATTACTCCTTACGTTGTCGTCTAAACATTTTGATGTTTATTACGTACTTCCTTAGAAAATTGTAGTTATTTTATTACTTTTAAAGTTTTAACGTGGCGTAGGGTTCTATAATAGTGCGTTTCATCACCCAGGAGTAACCTTACTGGTATGAATAATTACACTAAGGCATTTACGAAAACAAGACAAATTAATTAATGTAAGATGTAAATTCTTTTTAGCTAACAGTCTGAAGGCTAATAACGCTTAAAACCGTGTTTCAATACCCGTGATGTGTACAATACAGAGAGCCCATTATGTAGCTTAACAAACAAACAAACAAACACTTCTTTTAGTTTAAAGAAGAGATTATTCCTTACACTAGCCCCCCCTCCCCCCAGTAGCATAGCGGTATGTCTGTGGACTTACATAGCTAGAAACCATGTTTCGATACCCGTGGTGGTCAGAGAACAGATAGCCCATTGGGTAACTTTGTGCTTAATTACAAACAGACAAAAATCCTTACACTAATTTCTTTATAGAAAATGGTATAAGTGAAATTATTAGGTGAGAAAAAGTTAATTTATTTAAGAGGTACAATCAAGTGCGTTAGCTGATCCCGAGTAATCTTAATTCATATTCGAAATTTTTTTTTTCTTCTCCAACTAAAGAACGGGATGTTTTCTCGCTGTTAGACTTCCTCTTGTTTGACGTCTAGACACAGATAAGATGATATTCCCGTCCACTTATAAAAAAAACTAAATTTTAACATCAGGAAAGTTTATGATAATATCCTACATTAAATCATGAAAAGAAAATTTGTATAGACCAGATATCTAACTGCACAGTAAAAAGCACTGTAAATATATTAAGCACTCCAAGTATTTCCAACCGTATCTTAGAATTAATAAAACTTTTTACTTTTAAAAGGAACAAAGTATAGAAAATATGATGGCATTCCTTAAGATTTGTAAAATTCAATAGGTTTAGTAAAGTCACATAACTTTCAACAATCTTCGTAATTGATTTTGAAAAGGGTATTTATTATACTAAATAGTTACATTGTGTCAACCTACTGATATTTTATCATTTTAACATAACATTACCTGCGGGCAACAAGGGACCATTTGATCCTTCAATGTTGTCCTCCACAACCTGGATTTACAACGCTAAAATCAGCGGTTCGACACAGCAGATAGCCCAATGTAGCTTTGTTTAAGAAAAAACACACACACACACACAGACCCTTCCAAACCCATCTTTTGGAGAATCAAAAATTTAAACTCGCTCTTTACTTTTCAGGAAATCGTCGATTCCTTTCTTACATTCCAGTGCTGACCTGCATTCCTATCAATCACTGTGTTAAAAACCTATTTCTGTAAAATAAACCTTACATTTCTGGAATCATCTTAGTAGCTCTCCTCTGAACCCAATAATTTCCAGCAAGTTAGTATGTTTTCTTAGAAAAGGATACCAAAACTGTACGCAGTATTTCAAATAAGTCTTAACTAGTGATTTATGTATACATAGAGATAATTACTGCTTTTGGCTTGTAATCATCATGTCTATAAATACACCTTATAAGTCTATTACTACTAGCACACAAAGCACTGCTTCGATAGCTGGGTGACTTATCTAAAACTAAACATGCCAAAATACTTCATTTTCTTCATTCACACTATTGAATTGGTTTCCAGGTGCGAGTTCTACATATTCCTATATGTTTAGATGTACAAGATCATGGCCAGGTGGTTAGGGCGTTCGACTCGCAATCTGCGGATCGCGGAATCGAATCCCCGTGCCACCAAACAAGATCGCCCTTTCAGCTCTGGGGGCA